GTTAGGTTAGGTCAGGTTATTTTGATTAAAAGATATTTGTAACTAACATAACCTGACCTAACCTAACTTTACCCAACCGTCTCCCAAAATCAGTTTCAGCAGAATGCGGAAAAATAAAATTCACAGTTTCTGGTAGGTTGTTGTGATTATGAACTCGTCCTAAACATTTGTCTGGATGGTAGTGCGGTATAGGAATGAGGTACTGAGATAACAGGAAAGTACCGGATTTTCTCTCATTTTCCAAATTCACCTGGCCGAAAAGCAGGAGGTGTTCCATGACAGTGATTTCAGGGAAAAGCATGGAATGTTGTGGACACAGTCCCATTCTTTCCCTGACCTTGTCCAAGCTTGTTGTGATGTCATAGCCATCAATAACAGCAGTGCCTCCACTTGGCGAGTAAAGACCTTTATTTCCCGAAAAATTAAGATTTGTGTTTTATTGCATATTACATTAAATTATTGAATTGAGTTTTTCAAACCAGTTTTCAGAGTTGGGGTGAAAGTTGCCTGAATCCCCCTTGAAACAATGCATTCAAAATCTCCCCATCTCAAAGGCTTTCCACTCACAAAGTCAAATTTTCTGGAGAGCTTTTGGATACTGTTTTATTCATACAGGAAAGAGAACAGGAATAAAAATGAAACTAGATGATTTAAAAAAAAGAAAATGAAAGATTAATTTGGCAAATGAACCCTTGCATCCAAGTTCAACATCCTGTCAACGCATTTGAGAAGCAATTAAATGCAAAGTATATCACCAATTAAAATGTCCTTCAATTCCTTTTTCTTTTCTCCAATAAAAATTGTTTTTTTCAATAACTCAAAACCTCCTTGACTCCTTTTTCCTGGTATCACAAATCGTGACTTGAATTTTTTTATCGTGTATCACCCTGTAGCAATTTTGTTTATTTATCAAGCATAAACAAGCCAAGGAAATTATACAGGAAGACTCAAAAGACCTCTCAGAGCAAAATTTTTCGTTATTCTTTGCTCAAGGAATGCAAAAGTAATTTTTTTTTTAACCTACCTGTCAAAATTGACATAGTAGTAGTTTTCCCCGCGCCATTGTGACCCAAAAGAGCAGTGATTTGACTGCGATACGCCTTCAAACTCAGGCCATCAACAGCGACTTTTTTCCCTTCTAGTGACCAGAAAACCTTTCGCAAATTTGCAATGTCGATTCCGGCTTGCAAATGCTGAGGCTCTTCTTCAAAGAACTGGTTTTTGCCAGCTAGTATTGAAGCAGATGCTGAGTCCGATTTCGCATTCACTTTGCTCTTCTTGGGAAACCAGTATGAAAGCTGTGCAAAATAATTTCATGAGTTTTTGCAATCGAACAAAAAATGGGGGGTGGGGGGTTTTTTGCAAATTTTCACCTGGAACGGGAAGTAAATTGGCGCAGGAACCCCGTACTTTCCAGGTTTTATGGTGTCCATGTACAAAGTGAGGATCATGTAGAAAACTGTGTCAAAGACCAGCATGAGGAAAACTGAGGTCATGGTCATGCCGTCGTTTAAATACGGTGCTTGGTTCATGTTTTTCCACTGGAGTCCAACTCCTTTGAAAAATAAATAAATAAAAACAAGCCATAAAAGCTGTTTTTGTTGCGTTTTTTTTCCTTTTGTAATTTTAAAGTATACCTCTGCCCTCGAAAGCAAATGCGACTCTGACACCATAAACCATGGCCATGTTGGGCATCAAACACAAAGCCAGGGACTCAGAGTTGCCAACTGTTCCTTCCACACCATCGCTGACGTTCCACAAATTCAGGGAAAATGTAGGAGCCATGTAAGTCATTAGCATGAGGAGAATTCCGACCGGGATCGTTTTCAGG